ATACAGCTGTTTCTAATCACCTATATAAAGAAATATGAAGGGTTACCAGATTATTCTATTTCTTCTGTAAATATTGATTAGTTTATAACTCTGTTTTGGTCTTCTGAAATAATCACATGCATGAGAATGACCTTTTGAATGTAGTGTCTTGGATGAATTGTACAAGTCTCTTATTTCTCAACAAGTCCAAATTGAAGTTCATATGTAAATGGCTTTTTCCCACGTCAATTTTCTTTTAGTGCTACAGTCAGCACAGCCTTCTTATTCCTTCACCTTTGCAATACATGTACTCTATCTACTCCTAACTATCTCTTCCCCAGCTACCCTGCATCAAATCAATCCTTTCCTCTGATGATCTTCCTGGGCATGCCCACAACTCATGAATAGTTCATTCCTCCCTGCATCCTCTGTGGATCTGCTCTGAAGAGCTGATCAGGAAATGCAAGTGCTGTTGCAGCCACTGTCAAGCTCTGCAATATCACTTTGGGGATGCCATAGGGATGATAGAAAACTTGTGCTCTTGGTGGTGGTGGATGTAACACTCATTATAACTTGGGCAGGATTGGTTTGGTTTTGATTTTATGTTGGGTGGTTTTGTGTATTTTGTTCTTTCTTTTTTTTTTTTTTTAATTTTTTGTTTTTTTGGGGTTTTCATTTGTTTGGTTGTTGGTTTTGATTTTTTTTTTAAGAGATTTTAGGCTGTCAGATGCAGGAAGCGTGGCCTTGCTTGAAAAGCTCTGTATTGGTACATGTGTCTAAAACTAGTTTCTCTTTACTGTTCCTTTAAAATTACTAGTGTTTGACTGAAGAGTCTTTATGAAATGTGTATGAGAATGCTGAAGGAAAGAAATTCAGCCAAAAAATAGGGTAGTTTTCAGGAAGGTACTACTTTGGCTCTAGGTTTGTTTATCATAGAAAGGTAAGTTGAAATAACAATGCCAAATAGCAAAAAAATCATCTGTTTTTAATTTAAATGTACTTTCAAAAACACACTATGCTGACAGAAATGCCTGAAATATCTTGGTGTTCAGAATTATGTGTAAAGTTTCTCTTTTGTATCTCGTTCATGTCATTAGCTCAGTTCAGTTGCTACCTACAAACCAATACCACAGAGATCATTCAACAGGTTTTACTTGTGATGTAAAAGCTGTGGGTATTTATGCATAATATGCTTCCAGTTCCTCACCTCAAGTTATTATTTTCTAATGTCATATAGTATTTTGAAGATGATATTTCTCGAAAGTTTGAGTTTTTTTTTTTTTTAATTTTAAGTAGAATTTGACATTTTTTTAAAAATTGTGCATAGAAAGCAATCTTCCTTTCAGAAAGAAATTTGTTGACTCTGTGCTTTCCTGTGCTGTATTGAAAATAGCTGATTGTTGAACTGTGGCAACTTGAGAGCTCCAACACATGAGATTTGTGTGATGCCTGGTGATCTTACTACTGTAATTTCAGACAGTGTAAGCCAAGCATACTAAATGGGTGATGGAAGCAAGTTTGTACTGAGTAGATGAGCAGTGATGCCGGGATATAACAGCCCAATTTTGTTGACAGTTTAGAAGTGATAGTGATTTCTGATGAAGCTATTGCAGTAAGACAGAAAATAAACTTTTTAAGCAAGCTCTGGTGGACTTCAGATGCTGAAGAGTTCAATGTTGGTAAAGGGGGTTACTTAAAAAAAATAAAATGTAGTGGGCATGTGGAAACACTGAAAATGCTAAAATTCAAAAGATAGCTGTGGGTTGTGCTTTAAGAATAGCACTATTAGAGATAAAGGTGTATTTCTGTCCTGTTGCTGAGTCAATGGTTAATACTGAAGAGCTGTTCTCCTTTGTGGCAGAGGTCTTACATGGGGTCCTGATCGATTTTTGTCTGAGAGGAGCAGGAAATCCACCATGAGGGAAAATATCTTGTATAATCCATCAGCCTTGGGTTATATTAGACCTTGTTTTGGAGTATGTGAAAACACTATGATGTCTGCTTCTGAGACTGAGTGACGTACCTGTGCAAGAAAAGTCTTACCTTTAGAACACTGTTTTGTCCCAATGATCGGGGTTGTACTGAGGCTCTATGAGTGCAGTGAGCTTTATTTAGAAGTTCCTGAAATTATGGTGATGATCCTTTGGTCTTTCTGAAACAAGATGCAGAGAAGACTGACAGTGCTGGTTTGTATCTCCTGATTGTGGCTGTGGTTCAAATGAGTTTTCTGCCAACTTCTGTGTGAAGAAATTTATTTTCATCCCTGCAGTTCTTTTTTCGTTTCACAGTAGGCATAATTGCTGAGTGGGATGCAAGAGTTTTAATTCTGCATTATAGCTTGATGTGAGATACTCTTTTTCTGCTTATTTACGAGAGTGTGTGTAGGGAGCAGTGTATTGGTCTGCTGTGTCTTGTGCCCCTTAGGGACTTCAGTGGCCCTGGGCCGTTGTTTTCAGAGTAGTGCCGTGACTCTGCCTGGCCAAGAAGCTAGGCAGTAAAGTTCTCTAGGGACATCACACTGGATTAAGTGAATTAGATTTGGACTGTGCAGCCAGTGGTTCTTACCAGCTCCAGCATGATCCTTTTTAGCAGGTGGATTAAGTCTATCAGCTCTGCAGTCCCTGGCTTCCATCAGTCTTGAGCCTGCGGATTCGTTGGCACTGGAGAAGGTAAGTCCCTTAAAAGGGAATTTTCTTTGGAATAAAACCCCCTCATCAAATCCAGCACCACTTTCAGTTAGTTTTTGAGGAAGTAACTGTAAGAGTTAGTGCTGCGTATTTAGAGCTTTGTCACTAACAATGTACATGCCAGGTTGTTGTAACTTGGATCATAACTCTCACGGAGAAGTGTTTTCTCAGCTTGGCTTTTTGAAGCTCTCGAAGTTCTACTGAATCCCAGGGGTCACAGTGTCCTCAGGAGCTGTACTGTGGCTCTTCCTCCCGTGGCCCTGCCATGGTCTGTTTGGCCAGGGAGGGACACAAAGAACAGGCTGCAGTTACTGGCTGTGACCATCTGCAGAAACTACTGACAGACGTTTCTCGCTCATCTCACTCTGCAGTAGTGGGGCTGCAGCTGATACAAAGAACTGTGCAAGAACAAATGAGCCAAGCAAAAAACATGCCTTCCAAATGTTTTGAGACACTCTTCTTGTGCATATGAAGGTGGTGGCCTCCTTTCCAGGAAGTGATGGTAGACTCTTTCACATGTAATTAGTAGTTGTTGCCTTCACTGCCCCGCCCTGTTAAGACTTGACAAAAAGAATGTTAAATGTACAGATGTCTAATCCGTGAAAAAAATGAAGTATCTCTTTTTTAATCAGGTCATGTGGATTTCTCTCCATTGTTTAAAAGTTCATAAATGGACTGTGACTCTTAACGTTGAAAAATGATGACATGGAGATTTCCACAGTCTGTGGCTTTAGAAGATCTCTAGATATTTACAATTCTTGCCATTCTGCAGTGAATGTTGTATAGGAATTGGAAGGAAAGATGATCATTGTCTGAGTCAACTTACTTGCTCTCACTACAGGTCTTGGACACGTAGAAAATCAAATGCATTTCAGTTTTTGATTCTTAATCTATAGAACTTGAAATAACAGTTAAAAAGATTGAAGAGTATTAAGAAAATAATGATGGATCAAGAATTTAAAAATTGAGAGGAGGGATAAGTATAAAAAAACCTGTTCCTGACTTGCTTTCTAAACATTCATAATGAGAGACTTTGGTTTTCTGATGCACAGATGTTTGAATCTTCTCTGCAGAGGATACTGATTTTTTGTCTTGCCATATTTCCAGCCTTTTTGCCTGGAAAATAGGTCCTGAATCATGAGTGAGTTCACTGGAAGCTATTATATTGGTTCACTGTAGTCTTCACTATGGATGCTTCCGTCGAAGCAAATATGAGTTGTTGTAATCCGTGTTACATTGTAGATAGCTTGATTTCTAAACTTCTTATTCTTTAGTCAAACATGATGGTAACTGAATCTCCTCTAGTGTTTGTGTTGGTTTTATCTATTTCAGTTTTCTACTTGTCACTTTCTTTTACACACTAACACTAGCGTTGGCTTTTTCTCAGCTAGTTCAGGGAGCTTTGTATTCTTACATTTCCCTTAATTCACCTCTAGGGTTGACATTTTAGGGAGTTCATTGCTATCAGTAATAAAATTCTTTCTCTTCTAGTCAAGACATCTGCTTTATTCTGTGCTGTATTCTTCCAGAAACTGAAGTATTCCCCCTGTGATATACTGAAATTGGTCCTTGCTAATTGCATGTGGAAGTACAGGATAAGGTTTTATCACTGCTTATAATACTTTCATTTCTAAACTTTCATGATCAAGGGACAAAAAATCCTAAATATGATTTTAGATGTTAGTAATGAAAATTTGAGTATTACAGCTAACTACAAAAAAAGAGTGAAAAAAATTCCCAAACATCCCCCCCCCCCCAAAAAAAAACCCTCAAACATTTGGAGAAAGGAAGAGAAGCAACAACCACTACCTTCTTTCAATCTCCTCCTTATAGAAAAGAGATGGAGTCTAAACTGTGTTAATTCCCATATTTAAACTGTGTTAACTCACAATATTTTGGTCTTGCATTGTCATGTTTAGATTCTCTAGGATTATGCATCCTGCCTGTCTACCACTTAGATATAATTTAAGAAAGAAAAAAAGTCAAATTCCTTAATTTTCTTAGAGTTCCAGGTTTTATAAGAAACAGGTTACTTTTCCTAGGTCAACAGACCTATAACAAATACCATGAAACCAAGTGCTTGGAGAGCTTCCTAACCTTTAAGTATGGTGGTAATTTCCTTAGCTGCAGTCTTCAGCTCAGAAACAACCACATTCTCATGCTTTTGTAGCATGCTTGTTCTTTTAACATGAAGATGAGTAATATAAACATAAACGTTCAAAAATGACTCCTTGTTAATTCTTTTTAATTCATATCTCAAACATTTAATCCTAAAGATTTAATTTCTGGATTTTGGAAGTAACTTTTTAATAATAACTGTGACAGACATAATTCCACATTCATCAACATTCCTATTACAATGTGCTCCCATGAGTTCTTAGTACCCAAAATTGATTCTGTATTATTTAATGTTGGGAGTTTTCTATTTTATTTTTTTGTTATAGCACACCAATTATTTCATTTACTAAGAATTTTGTTTGTTTTATGTACTTGTGTATATAATGTATATGATTTCATGTTATCTGTTCTTATAATCTTGTCAACTGATATGTTGCTGACTGAATTCTAAAATGTCATTTTTAATTAGTATCTTTTAAATAGTATCTAAAGTCTCAGTTAAAAAAAAAAAAATGGTTTGTCTCTGTAAGAGTTGAAAAGCAACACTAAAATATTTTTGGAGTAATATGCTATTGTACTCAACCTCATTCCTGTCTCTGCATTGCCTGCCTGTTGCCTTTTACTTTCAAAGCTGGTGGTACAGGTAAACACTTCAAAGATTGAGGAAGAGGATGCACTTGAGCTCCCCTCAAAGCACTTTAGAGAGGAAGTACAACTGACTCATCAGTGAAATTGTCTATACAGCAAATGCTGGTAAGTGTACAAAATGAACTGGAAAAGAAAATGTCTATGATCTTTTAATTTTAGCAGTCCTGTAATAGGACTACATTGTTTAGATGACAATATATGTTTTCTTTTCAAGCTGAATGATGCTAAGTTAATCATCCTGTCTTTAATACGTCTCTTCTCTTGTCTTGGATCTACAGTTGTCCATTTCTTTCAAATAATACAAGAAATTACTTTCCCTAGGCTACTGCCTCTAATGACTGGCTTTCTTCCTTACAGTATATTTTTCTGTTCCTTTCACAGTAAGAATATTTCTCAGCAGCTGCTCTACTTATCCACATATGATCTGAAAGCAGTAATTTTTTGGCGGAGGAGGGAATTGTTTCCTGAAGTATCCATGGAAGCATTTATGAAAGTGTCTTAGATCTGCACTTAAAGCTTGCTGATTATTTACTAACAATGATGAGTGTTTGTTACACTCAAACCATTCTGAATCCTTTTGTAATCAGATTTACTTTGTCTCTTTAAGATGTGGGGATACGTTATCTAGTAAGAGCTAGGTCAGTGTTCAGCGGATTAAATTGTAACTACTCTTGTCCACTTGCTTAGCTTAGTGCAAGTGCAAATTAAAATTCATAAATTTAGCTGGAATTTGCATTTGGAACAGAGTGAGCACTCTGTCATTTCTTGTTACAGCTTAGCTCATAAATGCTAGCTTGTTAAGACAAGGTAATGTTAACATGGTCTGGATAGCATGTCTGTGTCCTTGGTATCGCTGCAAGTGGAATTTTAAAATATGACCATTATTTTCCTTGATTTCTACTTGCATTATGATTGCTTTATACAGCACTACTGCTCTAAATTAATTTTTTTTTTTTTTTGTAAACCTAAGAGAACCCTTCAGTAGTAAAATAGATTTTTGGAACTTCTTTTAGAGAAACTTTCAATGGGGTTTTTTCCTAGAAACATTTGCACAGGCATTTTCCAATGCTTTGGGTTTTGTTTACTCTGAATTAATCCTTCCCGCCCTCTCCCTACCTCCTGCCTGCAAAGTTCTTAATACACTTTTTCATTAGTTAATTCTGTTGACTCCAGAGGTCTTCAGATCTATTCTTCTGAGTAGCTTCTGTTTTCAGATGTTCTTTTCATTGACTGAAAAGTTTTGTGCCAGTTATACTTAGACCACTAATGATTGTATGCTGGTGAGACAGAGAATTTTGTGCACTTTAATTTTTTCTTTCTATTTTTTGAGGAAGCTGCATGTAGTAGGCTTTCCATCAGTGGAGGCTGGAATCATTATTTTCCCCTCAGTGCTTTCAAACATGGTTCTTCATGGGTCAATTCACTGTATTTTAAGCTAATCACTGCTTGCTTATCATATAGACTTTCCTTGCATTAACAAAAGCAAAAATACATTCTGAAATATTAGTTGTCCCCTCTGCTGCACAGCTGTTGAACATCCTCAATAGCATTTTACTCAGTTCAGTCTTTTCTGGTGCTGTCATTCCTGATAAAGCTTTTCTATGTTATAGTTACTGATATGGTTAATAACTATTACTGATATAGTTAATAGTTATATAACTAGTTACATAGTGAATCTTGAGAAGCAAACAGGCTTTCTCAGACAATTGTTTTGTTAAATATAGATGGAAACATCTCTTAACTCCACTAAGGACTGAAGAAAATGCCATACCATCTCATGATAGTATTTTGGAGTTTAAGGCTCTAAGGGGCTTCTGTCACTCTAGTTAGTTTCAGCTATGAGACAGAAGAATTCAAACAACAGGACCTTCTATTTGAATATTGAGAGGCAAATGCTGCTTCACAGAAGTTCACTTTTATGAACTGCTTCTGTTCAGAAATGCCTATCTTCAGGATGAAGAGTGATACCAGACAAATGTCAATGTGTGTATGTGCTTTAAGGTTGTGCAAAGGGACTGGAAACTTAAATGGGTTAGAGTAAGAAATGTAGTAATGCCTGTTGATGGGAACTTTAATCAAGAAAGAAACAGGCAGTGATATAACCACGAATGGGATGCTTTAGATATGGAAACAGAAGAAAGAAACTAAGTAAATGATAAAGTTGACAACTTAAAGGTCTGGATGAGCATCAAAGAAGAAAAGTAGAGGTGTGGTGGTTGCTGGTGCCGAACACAGGAAGGTGTAGGAATGGAAGTAACAAAAGAGCTGTATAACAGTATAACTGAAAAAGATAACTGAGAAAATGTGTAAATTATGTGCAGCTTTGAGAAGAAAGGGGACAAGGTGAAAAAGGCAGTCACTCAATAAGATCCTATTACTGTATTGAGAAAGTCTGCAAGATGCTTGTGCTGCTTGAGAGTAGCTGAGAAGAATGCCTGTCACTGTGAATGGAGGCACGTCACTCTTCTTAAAAACTGTCTTACTGGATGATGAGATGAATCACTGACAGGGGAAGTACAGAAGATGTAACTGAGCAAAGTGAGGAGTATTAATTCTCTGAGGCAGAAAGGTCAGCTGTGGACTTGGAATTTAAGGGCTCTCTCTTAGCTTTTGACAGAAACATGACATCTAACAGAAGCAAGTGATACCGCCATCCTGGAAAGTCATTGTAGTGTTAAATACCTGTTGAAGGGCTTTTGGCAACCTAATGGTTGACAAGTGTGTTCAGAGAACATTCGATAAGATAGATACTGAGTAGTGGCAAGGTGCAGTCTATCTGGGTGAAAAACCACGGTATTGCCCACTTACAAGCTTGTTTTTCTATGTCAACACAAATGTGTAAAGAAATGCTCATTCAGTTATTGTAAATAATTTTATATTGGTGGAGGGGGAGTGGGGAGTGGACCGGGAGTGGAGTAGCACTTCAAGAAACTGTTAGAAGCATTGGTTAGCCTGAAGGTTAGCATTTGGTTTGCCTGAAGGTGTTTTGTGCACTTCTTCAGTGTTTCTCATATAGTGCCTACTGTGTCAAGATTTTTGAAATGCATAATGTGGGTTAAATCTTTAGTGCCCTGAAGTAATTTTTTTAGGCAACTGGTCTTCATGCTTAGTGAGAAATTTTTTTATTCAGCTTTGATATTTAGGAGGTATTCAGCTTCTGGCTTCAAACTGGGAACTTTCAGCTCCTCTTCCATCCTGGCTAATTCCATATGTAAAGGTTCTGCATTTTCTATAGGGATGTTGGGTGTGCTTCTGTGTTTATTCTGGTGTTACACAAGCTAAATGCTTGTTTCATTCTCAGTTTAATATACTTTCTAATTTTCCTTTGCCATGTTTTTTTCTGCTTGTATTTTGCTGGTAAAGGTGTTAACATAATGTTGGTTGTGGGTTTTTTAAGCACTGTATGAAAAATAGTGATGTCCAAAATTTAGATACCTGTTTCCATCTTTGCAGAAAAATGAAACTGTAACATTTCCATAGAAAAATTGAATGGTTTGGGTCGGAAGAGATCTTCAGACCTCTAGTTCCAACCCCCCTGTTATAAGCAGAGACATCTTTCACTAGGCCACTTTGCACAAAGTCCATTCAACCTGCCATTGAACTCTTCCAGGAATGGGGCATCATAACTCCTCTGGGCAACCTGTTCTAGTGTCTCACATCCCTCACAGTAAATAATTTGTTAGTATCTAATGTAAACCTACTTGCAGTTTAAAGCTGTTCCACCTTGTCCTGTCACTACATGCCCTTGTAGTCTGTCTCCATCTTTCTTGTAGGTGCCCTTCGGGTGCTGGCAGGCTGTGTTTAGGTCACTTCGAGGCCTTCTCTTTTCCAGATTGAACAAACCAAATTCTTTTAACCTTTTCTAATAGGAGAGGTGCTCCATCCCTCTAATCATTTTTGTTGCCCTCCTCTGAACTCTCTTCAACGGGGCAAAGTCCTTCCTGTGCTGAGGACTCCAGAGCTAGACTAGTACTCAAGGTGGGGGTCTCACAAGAGCAGAGTAGAAGGGCAGAATCCCCTTCTGGCCACGCTGCTTTTGATGCAGCCCAGGACACGTTTGGCTTTCTGGGCTGCCAGTGTATGTTGCCAGCTCACGTCCAGCCTCTCGTGCACCAGCACTCCCAAGTCCTTCTCAGCAGGGCTGTTCTTTGTCTTTTCATCCCCCAGCCTGTATTGACACTGGACATTGCCCCAAACCAGGTGCAGCACCTTGCACTTGGCCTTGTTGAACCTCATGAGATTCCCATGGGCCTGCTTCTCACACTAACATTTTGAGTTACCCCTGTGAGTATACCCTCCAGGAATACTCCTTGGCAATCTGTAAAGAAGAGACTTCATTCCTTCAGTTTTTTCTCATGAGTTGAGATGTTGTCTGAGCCATTTTTTCTTGAGTGTAGTGAGCTCAATGGGTGTCTCAAATAAACTTAATTCAAACAGATATAACTTCCTTGATGTGATGTCTTTATTTGGCGCACACAGGATGCTTTATTTTATAAAACAATGCAAATTTTTCTCGTTTACTAATGTTTCTTATTTCACCCCTCTTTCCTAGATAACTGCAGCTGCTGGAGGCTTACAGCTACATGTAACATGCTGTACAGAGCTAAAACAGAAAAAGCTATTTTTTTGAGGGTCCTGACCTAAGGAATAGTTTCTGTAATGTAAACAGTAATATTCTGATAGTAAAATGTGACTATCCTTGAAAACTTTGTATTATTTGTGAAATCAGTTGGTTATTTTGGATTCTCAGCTCCTAAAAGAGTCAATGCCAAAAACTTTATATAAGGAAACTTTCTTATAAAGAAAGTTAGCACCACAGAAAGGTGAACCTCAAATAGAAAGATGATCTCATTCTTGTTTTCTCTCATCACCTTATGTATCATCACATCAACCTCTTGTCTGTAGAGGAGTTTTCTATCTCTAAGTTCCACAAAGATTGAGTTTCAAATGTCATAATGCCAATAAGTTTGGCAGCTGAGATGCCTGTAATTTTTATCTCAAAGTAAACCCCACAGCGGTTGTAATACTTGGAAAAGGCATGCTAGAAGCATGAAATCTTATGACAACTTTGTCATGTGTCCTCATTTTAGACAGGTAAATTGTCTTATAGCAGCTCACACAGTTCCTAAAAACAGTGTTTTGCACTAGTCAATACACTTTACATTCCTCCTCTTCAAAGACTTCTGAGAATAGATCATTTTCTCCCCTCTGTACAAAGAATAGATAAATTTTTGCAGATACTTTCATAAATTCCAACAAAAGGAATAGGTAAGTATAACATGCTTTTCCAGGCCCTTTTTAAAAAGTTTGGTTGCATTATATGCCCATAAGAATTTACCGATACACAGGTACAGACAGAATAACGGTCTAAAATGGATTATATGCATCAGTCCTTTGTGCAATCTGTCTCTGGAGGTTGCATTAGCAGAGAAACATAAGTCCTTTCATATCCTTTTTCTTCAAAGGGCAGTAACCAATATAGCTAAATACTGCAGATAGTTTAAGTTTTTTAGCACATGTTCTTACCATAGCAAAAGCAGTAAGTGCCTATAATAGCAATGAAGTCCTGTTCCTATGTAACTTGCTATGCCCCATTAAGCTTCATTGGTTCTCCTAGTGTTTAGACTGCACAGGTTTGGACGCATGCCTTGAGTGTGTATTTGGCCTCCAGTAACTGCTTGTAGCAATCTTTCTTTTCTTTCTGCTTTCTTTAGCAGAGATTCCTCTTTAAGATACGTGTGGCAGGTGAGAAAGAGAGAAATCAACAAGCCATTGCTTCTCTCCAGCCTCCTAATTCCTCAAGCAGCTACTTTCCTTAGGTATCGACCCATGCTGTGGAAATGTGGCTGAAATAGAACTGCATGGGCTAGTACTTCCCTAATGACCTTGACTGATAATTCTTTTGCCTCCTGGTAGGTGGGAGCCGTAACACTTAGTGTAAGGACTCTGTTGTAGGCTGGATGAAGAAGATGACAACAATAAACAGGACAACTGGTAAGTAATACTACTCCCCCTCCCATAAAAGTCCTCAGCAATATATGGTGGTTGTTTTGGGAAAAGTAATTGATTCTGGATGAAAACATGTCTGTTCCTGAGGCTTCCCAGAAAACTTTCTATATTGCATAGTGACATGTCTTAAACTCTCAGGAGGTCAAAGTAGTTAAGAATAATTGAGGGTTCAAAGGGCAGTCTCAGTATGAGAGGCTTCAGACTAGTGGGATTTTCAGTCTCCAGCGTGTTTCTGGATTAGAGGCACTCAAATACAATGTTAGGAAGCCTATTAAGAATAGAAAGCTCACCTTCAGCAAAAATTAACTGTCAGATAAAAAAGCATGGTTTCCCTGTAAAAGGAATAAAGGCATTTCAAAGCTATGTCTCTTGTTTGTCTGTATAGCATTTTGATGTTGCATCCAAACATGTTGATTAATTGGTTTTGATAAGTGTTCAGGATGATGTGTTTCATTCCAGTACTCTATTAAAACCGTTAAGATTTCCGAGTGATGGTATGGTAGGCTTGAGGATAGACTAGTTGATGTTTGCATATTGGTACTAGTAAAGACCCTAGCATGTTTGTTTGTAATCAGAGTAAGAGAAGTGTGAAATAGTGACATATATCCATGTTGTCCATCTGTCCTTGGGCAAAATGAGTGGTGCACTTAAATTCAGTATCTGTTGCCCTTTGTATAGCCTTGCAGAGAAGGTGACTGCTGTACAGTATCAACACTGCAGCTCTTTTTCGGTGTTGATTTTTAACAGAAAGTGCATTAGTGTGGTTATGGTGTTAGTGCCAGCACTAAAAATTAAGGGAAAGATTTCAGATATTGCCTTGATTGCCATCTCCCTAATAAGGTTTATAAGGCATTAGAAGGCAATAATAGCACACAGGAAAAAATTTGGTCACAGTAAACTGTGAACATTACTGTGTTTTACAAGTAAATTTTGCAGGTGTAATTACAAAAGCAGGTTATGCAATGCTCATTAATTAAACAGTGTTTGCCATCCTTCTGAGTAAGCAATGAGTTGGGGTGAATTTGTGCTTTCAGAATGGAAGTCTCCAGAAAGCCTTGAACAGACTTGGTAAGGTAGTTATGCTGACAAAGAAATCTGCTTAGGCAGGTAATTCTTCACAGTATTTGCTGAAATTTGCATGATGACAAAAGAGCTGCTATGAATAAAGCTGGGATATAGATGGATTACACATCCAGTATCACATCAATTTGCCTTAGGACCTCGAGTATGCAAGTATAAATGGTTCCTTTTTACAGGATAAAATAAAGGATTTTTATGAATTAAAATTGCTCTCCCTTGCATCCTTTAACAGTACTTTAACAAGAATGGGACACATAGGAGGATGACACACACTTGGTTTGTTACTAAGCTCTTTGTTAAATGTGTGAATATAAACTAATCTTGTAATCTTTGCAAGTGTCAAACTTTTACTTACCCTGCAGTTAAATTGAAACATTACCTTCATAGAGTTGTTCTTAAAAAAAAAAAAAAAAGTTGATGATTCATAATTTAATACTTCCCTTGGTTTTATTGTCATCAGCTTTTGTAAGCTAGAGTTAATTTTGGCAACATCACTGTGCTGTCATACATTTCTGCCTTTAATGCCTTGAAACCATATTAGTGTCTTAAAACCATATTAATGCTTGATCAGACCTTCTTAACTTCAAGTCTGGATATATGTAGTCTGCTAGGTCAGCAAGCATAGAAAGAATATATCAAGTTTTCTGTAAGTGGCTGGGTTCCTTCTAAGCCCCTTGAAACACAGGTATTCTTTCTGCTCCAATTTCTTAATCTGAAAAAACACTCTGTATCTCTGTAGAGTTGAGAAAAATTAAACAGTGCTTATGTCTTTTAGTATCTCTAATAACTAAGGCAGGTGAGGCTAAAGGGCCAAGCTTGCTGGGATTCTAAAAGAGTTACTCCGCAGTTGATTTTAGTGGACAGTTTCATTTTAGTTAAGGTTATTGGAGCTAATAAGAAAATAGTGAATAAGTTCTGAGAACTTCTTGGAGCTAATAAAGTTATAAGCATTTAACTTGTGTACACTTTCAGATGCCTGGAAGGAGAAAGAGACATTTTAGCTACATGTGTCAGATAAAAGGTGTAATAAAGGCTGGCTTTAGATCTTAGTTTGCTGTAACTTACAGAGGCCCTTTCATCAGCAGTTTGTCTCTTGCACTAATGCTACTGGAGGGTGTCCAGTAGTACATCTAGCTAAAGTAGTGTTCTAGCAAATATCACTGGTTTCTGCTTTGATATATCTAGTTCTCACCCATGCCATCTTACCACTTCTGATTGGGAGCAAAGGGCCTGATAATTGGCTGCAAGAAGAAGCAAACAGAATCAATGCAAGACAGCTCCTTGTTTTGGAAAAGCAGCATTTCCCACACTCTGGCAACCACTGATTTTCATTCTTAAAGGAACTATATGGATATAATGAATAACTTCTACTTATGTGTGAAATCTCCCATATGGAGCTGATCAAAAGACATTAACTACAAAATAGTGTATGATGTGATGTGGGTGCCATAGTTACTGATATGCCTTTGCATGCACAGGGAGTCATTAGCCATCTGAGTAAAAATTGATAGCTTTTAGGTGATTATAGCTAATGGTAGTTGGTATAAATTATGCATGGGCCTTAAAGAGAAAGAAAATCCTCCAAGACCAGAAATTGTTTTAAATTTGTATCAGAGTGAGGGACAAAACACAACTGGTTAGTTAAGAAAAACTTCTAGAATTAAAAATTAATAATTTTTCAGAGAAAGCACTGGAAAACCATTGTTGAGTGATATGGAATGCGAAGTACTGCAATGTGAATTAAAAAAAAAAAAACACTCCTGAAATCCTCAATGATGAAGCCTGCAGCCAACTTCCTAAGAAACCAGAAATGCCCACTGTAACTGGTACATATGGCAGAAACAACACTTGTTTAAGAAGAATCTGGAACATAACGCAGAAGATTGTTTAGAGCTAAGAAGTAAAAGTGACCGAAGTAATACATTTTCCAAGTGTAATGTTTGCAGGCTGCTTCCCAGGCATAGAGGCTTGGTGTTTGACCACCCTCCTATGAAGAATGTTTTCCATGTGTTGCACTGGAGTGACATTTGCTGCAGTTTGTGACCCTGCTCTGCTCTCCTTCCTGCTGGGCACCTCTCTGAAGCTTTGGGTGCTGCCTTCTTTGTAGCTGCCAGTCGGGTACTTGGAGTTAGAAGCTGGAAGAGCTCTGCCAGTAAGGGGTCACCTGCTGGTTTTTAGGACTGTGGCCACCATGCTTTAAGGCTGGTAATCTAGCGTATGATTCACTCACCTTATAGTCCACCTGTGCAGTCTGTTTCTCCCTCATTTGGATGCAAAGGTGTTATGGGCATCCAAGTTTAAAGCCTTTTAAGTCAAGGTAAGTGGCATCCGCTGCTCTCTCCTCAACCACCAAACCAATCATGTTGTGGTAGGCAGTGATGAGTCATAATTCAATCAGTGGTGGCTGTTCCAAGTCACTTATTTCAGGTACCTAGAAGTGGCTTTCACACTGACTTGCTCTATATTCTTCTTGGGGACTCAGGGATTCTGTATATCCAGTTTGCTCGTAGCTGTCTCCAGGTTTTACCATACTCAACCCTGACTTAGTCCTTCATCCTTGAATGTGCAGTGGCAGAGACCCGGGAGGGCAGACAGTAGTCTTTATCAGGAAGAACTGAGGTAAAGGAGACAGACATACAGTAACTCAGTCTTCCCCATGTATTCTTACTGCTAGGTCCTCCTTCCATTGGGTAGCTGCTCTTGCTTTCCTTGATCTTGTTTTCCCCCGCCCCATCAATGTAGCTTGCAGAAGTCCTTGTGGCTTCTACCCTCACTAGCAGTTTCAAAGACAGCCCAACTTTGGCTTTCTTAATTTCATCCTATTGTTTCTCAACAGTGTCACAGTCTTTCTCCTGAGTAGCCCAACTCCAATTAAAATTTATTTTGAGTTTGCATACAGTCAGGAATTCCTCATTCAGGAAGAGTTTTACTTAAGCTGTTCACAAATTTGGGTTATCATATAGTGAATATATGAACTGGTCTACGCAGTAGACCTAGAAAAACCTTTTTTACAAGGACAACAAATTCAAAGAAATATTTGCAGTAGTGGGGTTAACTATCTTTCAGATACACAAAAGGCAAGAAAGAGGCTTTTCCGAAATTCAGCATTAAATTTTCAGTGAAAAGCATCGTTGTTTTCTTCGTTCCCAAGATACTGTGATATATCCTATTCCTTGTTGAAGTTGTATGGAGAAAAGTATTCATGGTCAAAGTACACATAAGAGCTTTAGAAAAGTAACATTTTATCTGTAAAACTTACTAAAAAAAAAAAAAAAAAAGAAAAAGACCAGATGATGAGCATTTGGGAGTTACTTGTTAGTAGCAGTCCTAATTGAATTGCCTTTTTGGCTCTGAAAAGAAGTTGGATTTATTCTGGTATAGTTGTGTTAATCTACCAAAAAAAAATACAGTAGTTTTGATTTTATAGTTGTCTGTAATTTTAAGTCTCTTTTCATGCTTTCCTTGTAAGTTCAAGCATTCAGAAAGTTTTAATAACTGTTTTGAACAGAAAATGTAATATACCCTATAAGGGCCCTCAAGAGAGTGACCTTGTGCCTGGGTCTGTAATTAATAAACACTTCAGGGCAGAGCATCACTTTCCACAGTCAGTTCCTCAGTAGAAGTTTCTGATCGAAGCATCTTTGTGAGGTTTTTCTCCTGTAGAGATTTCCCACCTTGTGCGTAGACTTGAGGGAAGGATTTTGTGCTTTGTAGCTCTTCTGCCCTTTGATTTTTTCATTGATTTGGTGATCTAGAGCCTCCTCATTGGTTTTGTTAGCTATAATTTACTACAATGTCATGTTTTTCATACTTGCTCTCTCAAGTAGGTGATGGGAGTTGTATAGGTGGTTCATGAGTCATAGAATATTAAGCAATGTAGGAAAGAATGGGTATCAAGAACATTG